CAAAAACTCTCAATTTACTCTTTCGATCAAAAAGTCTATCAAACCTCATCCAAATGACCTGAAATTTTGCACACACGTCACATTCAACACTACGGAGCTACTCCAACTTCCGGAATTCCATTCCAACCCCGATATCAAAATCTCACTATCGAACCGGAAACTTCAAAAATTCAACTTTCGGCATTTCAAGCCTAATTAAGCTACGGACCTCCAAAACACAATCCGAACAAGCCCCTAAGCCCGAAATCGCCCAACGGAGCTAACGGAACCAACGGAATTCCATTCCGAGGCCGTCTTCACACTATTCCGACTACGGTCTGATTCTAAAACTTAAACTCTTATTTAAGGACTAAGCATCCAAAACTCTCCGAAACTCCAAATAAATCCTCCCGACAACTCACAATAGCAGAAACAAACACGGGGAATGCAGTTAATAGGAGATCGGGGCATTAATTCTTAAAACGACCGGCCAGGTCGTTACACTATTATTCCTTGTTGATACATTATATCATTTCTGTTTGGGCTGATTTTCATGATTACTGAGAGCCCGAGAGACTGGAGAGATTGATGATTGAGTGATGCCGAGGACCTGATTGTGAAGATATTGATACCATAGCATGTGAGTTGTCCATGCAGCAAGTGAGTTGTCCGTGAGCATCCGGATATTGATACTATAGCACGTGAGTTGTCCGTAAAGCCTGTCCGTGCGAATTATAGCGCTTGGGTTGAAGGAGCCCCTCCGGTGTCTGCACACACCCCCAGTAAGCGCAGGACCTACTAAGTGCGAGTGCCGAGTAAATGGGAGGGCTGAGTGACTGTTGCCCTCAGAGGATGCATTTGATTTCATTATTGTTGCACTTAGCTACCATGTATCACGGTCTTGAAATTCCTGAAAGATATTACACTCTGTTTCACTTGAACTTGTCATGAAGTAACTGTTTTGACCTAAATTGTCGAACTTGAAAGCATGCCTACCTTCCTATGTTGAAATCACTGCAATTGAACTATAACTGTGAAGCTCGTCACTACTTTCAGTTCTTTATTAGTCTTGTTACTTACTGAGTTGGTTGTACTCACGCTACACCCTGCACTTCATGTGCAGATCCAGGTATTTTCGGACACGGTGGATCTTGATTCTCTGCGCAGTTGATCCTTGGAGATTTTAAGGTAGCTGCCCGGCATTCGCAGACCTTGTTTCTCCTTTTCTATCTTACCACTTATTGTACTTAGTTTCGGACTATCATAGACAGTATTTTCCAGATTTGTGATATTTAGATGCTCATGTACTCCGTGACACTCCGATATTGGGAATCTCCACGTCATGTTTTGGGTTTTCTATCCCTTTTATGAGAACTTTTATTATTTAAAGCTGCTTTAACTCATTTTCTGTTAAAAGTGTTCGATTATTTTGAAATGTCGGCTTGGCTAGTACCACGTTAGGCGCCATCACGACAGATTAATATTTTGGATCGTGACAGAGCCCTTTGGGACCCGAATCACCCATACCTGCAAGTCCCAAATCATTATACAACCCTCCTGCGAAAAGTCTCAAATTAGGAAACTCTATGCTAAAACTCGAAGCAACTGACTGAATCGTTACACTTGGCTATCAAATATCTCTCTCGTCCAAGAAAATATTTCCCTATCATGAACCGTGAAAACTAAAAAATTAATATAATGGTTTTGCATCTTAATATCTTAACAACAAACTTTTAAAGGGACAATTGTTACCATCTTAGGACATAATATTTTTATACTTATTGGTAGATTATTTAACCAAAAAGTCTATTTGTTTAATCAGCAAAAGTAAAGGTAGGTACGATAAAGTTATCACTACGTATACTTTTTTGGTTTTTACTCTCTCTTCCTTTATTAAATAAAACTAGTCTTTGTACTCACGGGATGCACAGACAAATATCAAGTTATGATTTGGGTTATTTGGATTATATGCAAATTACGTCAAAATTTAAACTTTTGGACATTCTAGATAAAAGTTACATATAATTATTAGATATCAGTTAAGAAGAAGGACATAAAACTGTTTCTCATATTTCGTTTTAGATAACATGTTTTTTTATATTTGTAGCAACCCAACACCTTGATCTTAGTACTTGCATTTTATTCACTGATCAATATTAAAGAATACTAATCATATCACGTTGTAATATGTCCTGTTTGGACATATTGTTTCAACAAAAAATTTATTTATCACTTTATGTTTTACCTCAAAGTCGAGAAAGTGGTATCCTTCTACATTTTCATCCAAAAAAATCTCTATGCAATTTTTGCTTATAGTTGCTGCATTATTCATTACTTAATATTGTTATAATTTCATGGGATCGTTTATTAGCTTACTGTCACGACCCGAATTTTCCACCCTCGGGAGTCGTGATGGCGCCTACTAATGGGAGCTAGGCAAGCCAACCTTACATAATTACTACACTTTCGTATTTCTTCTCTTTAAGAAAATACCAGACGATAATATGATAACAGCGGAATTTTAAATAAATAAATGGAAGCCAACAGTAATATATCTTAAAACTACGTCTATTACAGCTTTTAAAACCCAAAACCTGGTGTCACAGTGTCACAGACTGTCTAAGAGTCACTACATACAAGGTCTGAAGAAAATACAATAAACTGTTTCTGAACGAAGAAAATGAAATAGGGAATAGAAATTGAGGGAGACGCCAGGGCCTGCGGACGCCTGCAGGTCTACCTTGGGTCTCCGGGTGGACTGAAGGAAGCCCTCCAACTACTGCCCGAAAGCTGCTCCTGGATCTGCACACAGTGCAGAGTGTAGTATCAGCACAACCGACCCCATGTGCTGGTATGTGTCTAGCATAACTTCGGCGAAGTAGTGACGAGGCTAGGACCAGACTACCAAATAAACCTGTGCAGTTCAAATATATATATAGAGCAGAAAAGAAATACAGAAAATAACCAGTCAATGTGGGAGGGGGAAACATGCTGCGAGGGAGATAACAGTTCTGAATAAACAGCATCAAGTAAGGAAAGAAACAACATAACTAGAATATCCACAAGAATCAGAAATCAACTATTTGCACGGCATCACCCTTCATGCTTTTACTCTCGTCCTCACCAAATCAATCGTATAATAACGATGTGCACGGCATCACCCTTCGTGCTTTTCCACTCTTTCCTCATCATGTAATCAATGAAAATCGGTACGGAATGGTACACGGCACGGCATCACCCTTCGGGCTTTACACTCTTTCCTCACGAAACAAACAATGCACGGCATCACCCTTCGTTATTTAACTCTCTTCCTCACCCAAACAACAATCACAAACAATAGGGCAAGAAAATAAAGGAAATTTGTAATAAGAATCCCGATAAGGGAGCAACAAGTCAACAATTAAATCCCGGCAAGGGAACAACATCAATAACATCCACATCCCGGCAAGGGAGATAACAAATAAATCAACAATAGCCCGGCAAGGGTGACAACATAATGATATCCTCTCTTTCTCACTTTTACTTCACAATTCACTTCACAACTCGATCCAATGCTCTAGAGGTTCAGTTATCACTTATACCTTCACAACTCGAGCCAATGCTCTAAAAGTTCAATTGTCACTTATACTTCCACAATTCGTTATACAATTTGAGCCAACGCTCCTCAATGTTCATAGGTAACAATTCTTTCCGCAAACTTTATACAACAATTAGAAACCATCACCAAGGCATGAAAGATACAACGGAGTCATGATAATCACAACATAGAGACTCACGGGCATGCTAGACACCAACGTACAGATACTCATCACCATGCTTATACGTCGTACTCAACAATTACCACATAGCAAATAAGACTCAACTCCTAATCCCTAAAGCTAAGGTTAGACCAAACACTTTCCTCGAACTTTCACGGCCAACTCAAGTTTCAATTATAGCTTTACCCCTTGATTCCTCAGCCAATTCGCTCGTATCTAGCCACAAGTTACTTAATTACATCAATAAACGCTAAATGAATCAATTTGAATGCATGAAAATGAGTTTTCCAAAGTTTTACCCAAAAAGTCAAAATCGCCCTCGGGCCCACGTGGTCAAAACCCAAGGTTTGAACCAAAACCCGATTACCCGTTCCCCCACGAGCTCAAATATGTAATTTGTTTTGATATCGGACCTCAAATCGAGGTCCAAATCCCCAAATTTTGAAAACCTAGGTTCTACCCAAAACACCCAATTTTTTTTTGAGGTAAAATTATGTTTCATTAATACTCAAAAATGTTACAATTTGTTCCTAGTAGTAGTTTTGACTTACTACTACTCTTTTACATCAGTTCTTCTATGTCTTTGATATCAAAGTGTCTAAACAACTATATCTACCAATACAGACACTAGTATCTCATCTATATATCTATTTCTATCTATACATTTGTTCTTCAGGGAATCCAATCCAATTGTTGCATCAACTCTCTCCATTTTTTGTTATACTTCCCTCGAATATGAATATGCAGGATTATTTCTTTGCGGATTTGATATTCATCATATTTGCCATCCTCAAATCTGCCTATGTTTCTTTCTCTCCATATCATTGCAACTGTCACGGCAAAAACACAACATGTTATGCTATTTATACCTGCCCTGCTCTTTGCCTTCTTGCTGATCCATTCCAGCTCACATTCCCAGTCACCTATTTTTCTTTTATGTCCCAGCCAAGAACATAGTTTAGTCCACAACCTGTTTGTTATTGGACACTCAAAGAATAAATGGTTTAAGGTTTCTACACCATGCTTGCAGAAAATACATTCTGGTGGTACTTTGATACCAATTTTTAGCAATCTATCAACTGTTGCCAGCCTCTTCTGTACTGCAAGCCACAAAATGAATCTGTATCTTGGATGTATACTTGTATGCAACATTAAGCCCTTTCATTCCACTTTGCAATATTCTGGGATCATCTTTAGGTACACCTGCTTGATTTGATATTTCCCATTCTTACATAGACTCTTTAATCTATTTTGCAAGGTTCCTTAGAGTTGTTGCTGCCCCATAATCACTTCCCTGCTATCAATTATCTTCCTGATTACCCAGGCTGCTGCCTTAGGAGTAGGCATTGTGTCCAGATCTCTCTTCTTTATATAGAAACTGTGAACCCAACGAATCCACAAACAGTCCTTCTTTCTAGTTAGATCCCATAAGTGCTTAGTAATAGCTGCTTTGTTCCATACCTTGATGTCTAGTATATTGAGGCCACCAGCTGCCACTGGTTTACATACATTTTCCCAAGCTACTAATGCCTTCTTTGAGATAGCTGCATTGCCTGTCCATAGAGATGTTCTGCAAATGGTTTCTATCAATTTCAGAACCTTTTTTGGGATGATGAACACCTGTGCCCAGTATGTCTGTTTTCCAAATATGACTGCCTTTATCAATTGACACCTTCCTACATAGAATAAAAACTTTGCTGACCAGCATGTAACTTTTGTTGTTATCTTCTCAACTAGTGGAATGTATTGAGCAATAGTTAGCTTTTTTGAGTCTAATGGAATGCCCAAGTACCTGAAAGGTAGTTTTCCTTCATTAAATCCCAATGTTTGTAGGATTTCTTCTCTAGCCTTCTGATCTATCCCAGCCATGTAAATAGCACTCTTACTTGCATTTGCCTGCAATCCAGAAGCCTGTGAAAACCTGTAAAAAGCATCGTTTAGAATCCTTATGGACTCCATATCAGCTCGACAGTACATTAGCAAATCATCAGCAAAGCACACATGTATGTTGTTCAGTTTTCTACACTTTGGATGGTAGTTAAAATCCCCATTCTTGTGCAACTCTTTTAGCTCTCTACTCAGATACTCCATAGCAATAACAAATAAGTAAGGAGACATAAGATCTCCTTGTCTAATTCCTCTCTTACCCCTTAAAAGGTTTAGTCAATCCTCCATTTATCACCAATGAATATAACACTGTAGTAACACAAGTCATTATCCATTGTACAAATTTGCATGGGAATCCAATGTCTATAAGTATCTGCTTTAGAAAATTCCATTCCAAAGTATCATATGCTTTCCTTAGATCCACTTTTAGCACACATCTGGGAGAGACTCCTTTTCTAGCATACCCCTTGAATAATTCATGGCTTAGCAAAATATTATCCATGATACTCCTTCCTTCAATGAAAGCTGATTGTGACTGATCAATCATCCCTTCAAGCACACCTTTTATCCTCCTTGTAATGACTTTAGAGATGATTTTGTACATGGTATTACAGCAAGCAATTGGCCTATAGTCTTTGACTGTTGCTGGGACTTTCACTTTTTGCACCAATGTAATAGCTGTTGTATTTATCACACTAGGTAATCTGTTTGTATTGAAGAAATCCTTAACAGCTTCAAAGATATCCTCTTTCAATACCTCCCAGTTTCTTGTGAAGAATTCCACAGGAAATCCATCAACCCCTGGTGCTTTGTCTTTAGGCATGTCCTTGACTGCTTCAGTGATCTCTTCAATTGTCACCATTTGGATCAATGCTCTTTGTTGATCCACATTTAAGCATGGCCCTTCCTTTATTATAGCTGTATTTGCACATAGTAGTTCTCCAGCACTCTCACCCATTAAGGATTGAAATACAGTTATGAATTCCTTCTCAACAAGACTAGCTTCTGTTAATTTCACCCATGTATCTGTGTAAATGGTAGTTATACTGTTTTGGCTGGCCCTAATCTTCCATTGTGCATGAAAGTATTTAGTATTAGCATCACCACACTCAATCCAGCTTGCCTTTGATTTTTGTCTCAGAACTTGCTCCTCCACTTTACTCCATTTTTCTATTTCACCTATTGCTTCTTTCTCTTCATTTATAAGGGACTGTGCCAAAGGATTCTGCTTCATCTGACTTTGCATAATATCCAATTTCTCTCTTGCTTGTTCAAGTTTCTGCCTGTAAGAAGCCATATAAGCATTTATCCCCTTAAGCTGTTCTTTTAGATTCTTTAATTTGCACCATATCTTCGGCATAGGTACTCCTTCATACTCCTTTTTCCATGTCTGTCGAACTATATTCTGAAACTGTGGATGGTCCATAACATTTGTGTATAGTCTGAAAGGTTTAGGATGTAGTAATTTCTGGCTGCCATATTTTATAAGAATAGGAGAATGATCTGACACTGATGGATTCATATAATCTGCTTCCACATGCCCATATTGCTGAATCCACTGATAATTTCCTAGTGCCCAGTCTATCTTGCTATACACTCTACTCCCAGTTCCTTGCTTATTTGTCCAAGTATAATGCCACCCTTTTGCCCTCAGTGGGGTAAGTTGCAAATCATCAATCATCCCTTTAAATCCCTCTACTTCAGCAGCAGTAACAGGAGATCCTATCCTATCTTCTGATGATAGAACATTATTAAAGTCACCACTCAGTAGCCATGTCTCCTGACTTGAGATGTTAATCTGCCTTAGATCCCTCCATAAAATTTCCCTCTTATGTCCATCATTCTGTGCATAGATGACACTAAGTTGTGCCTTGAACTGAGTTCTAGGGTCTTCAATACTACAATGGATAAATTGATCAGTCATGTGACTAATTATCACTTGAATAGGACTCTTCCATAATAACCAGATTCTTCCATTTACGGCACATGAGTAATTGCAGCACACATTCCACCCAGTAGCTATCTTTTTTGTATTTTCTTTGCTTTCTGCTCCTTTACTCTAGTTTCTATACATGCCATAATATCTACTTTATTTGTAGCAATAAGAGTTTTTACCTCTTTTTGCTTATGGGCTTGATTAAGCCCCCTAATGTTCCATGTAACAATGATCATTTGAATATTAGAGGGTCTGGTGGTCCTGGATCAATTTGTTGACCACTTCTCCCTTCCACCTTATTTATCTCTATACTTTTGCCCTTTTCAATCTGCTTTCCTATCTCAGCATCCTTACAGACAGTCCCCTGTAGATCAGTTGACACATAAGTAGTCTGTTGTGCATTTTCCTTACTATCATTCACCTTTACTACACAGCTTTTCACTTGTGTATTTTCCTGTACTGTCATTTCATCTTCTTGAGTATCTGCACTCACTTGAGGTTGTTTGACCATCCAGGCCTGCTTCACATTCCTTCCCTGTTTCTTTCCTCTTCTCATCTGTCTTTCCTGCCCATCCCCTTCCTTTATCTCCTGTGCAGCATCACATTTTGTGTTATACCAACAGTCCATAGAATCATGTCCAAATTTTAAGCAATAGTTATAGAAACTAGGCTACCAGTCATACTCAATCGCTTGTACCTTTGGACCATAAGGTGTTTCTATCTCAATCTGATCTGGTAAGGGATAAGCAGCATCTATTTCCACAAGGATTCTAGCATAGGAAATCTTCTCAAAGTGAGCAGTAAATTTATCAGTGTACAGTGGTTTGCCAATTGCACTAGCCATCTTGCTAAGAGCTTCAGTCGACCAAAATCCCTCTGGCAGCTCAGGAAACCTAACCCATACAGGAATTGTACTGAGAACATCACTATTGAATGAAAAATCAACTTCCCATAGTTTCAATACCATAGGTTTGTTCCTGTACGAGTAAGGTCCTGATTGCAGGGCTTGATCTCTATCAGCTATGGTGTTAAATCGAAAAATACAATACCCTCCGCATGCAATAGGATCTGAGGTTTTGTAACAAAGTTCCAAACACTCATCACAAAATTCTCCATAGCTTTCTCGTAAGGATTTTCTCCAATTATATAGCCAATTAAAGCAGTTTTCCAGTAATCCTCTTGGGATTGTAAATCTTCCTCACACAAATTAACTATTTTCTTACCATCTATATCAATTGGAGGTACATATGACAGTGTTTTCCCCATTTGTGAGTTGCGATTTCCTCGAACGATATCAGCTACCATAGGTGTTGGCTTCTCCGATCCACTCGCTTCTGAGAATTGTAAGCACCGCACTGTAGATTTCATCACTTCTTCCATTTTTACCGGTTGCAGTTGAATTTCACCTTCAGAGCTACTAGTTTCATGTCCTTCCTCAATCGATTGATACTTTTGTGGAAGAAAACTACCAAAAGTTAAGGGAGGTAATTCCAATTGAACGCCATTTGCTGGAGTAATCATCTTCTCCGTCTGTGTAACAGTTCCATGCAAGGTTTTCCGACGCCGCGCCATTAATTCCGGTGACAATTGCAAGCTTTGCTATTGTGCACCGAGAGAAACGGTTTTCATGCTATTGTGCGCCCCCAATATAAACCGTAATATCAAACACCCAATTTTCCCCCATGAAAATCTTTGATTTGAAGTTGAAGAAAACTAGTTAAAAACGACTTACAATTGATTTGGAGAAGAAAGGTTGTTTGAAAAATCGCCTCTTATGTTTTTGGGGTCATAAAAAATGAAAAACAACTGAAAATTCCGTCTAAATATACTGCCCTCATATTCCCTGTGCGGACCGCACAAAATCAACTGCGGCCGCACAGGCTTCCTGTGTTCTACAGTGACAGGTCTTAGTATTTTGGCCATAACATTCTCTACAGATGTCCAAATTGTGATTTGTTTACCTTTCTGGAAACTAAACACGATGGGCTACAACTTTAGTTTTTGAATCATCTCAAAATTGCTTGTAGATCAAAAGATATAGGCTTCCAAAGTCGGACCAGTGAATTGTTCTTCACCGCGGACCGCACCAAAACTAGTGCGGCCGCACAGGCCTCTCCGCGGCAGCAGTCCATATCGTGCGGACCGCACTGGCCTGTTCAGAGGTCCTCCACCTCTCTGAGCCTGCAACAGCTCTGTTTTTAAGCCTAAGACACCCCGGAACCCACCCGAAACTCACCCGAGCCCTCGGAACTCCAAACCAAGTGTACACAAAATCTCAAAAACATCCTACGGACTTATTTGTGTAATCAAATCATCAAAATAACATCATGAACATCAAATTAAATCTCGAGATCAATGAAATTTTCTCAAAACTTTTTTAAACATCAATTTTGCAATTTAGGTCCGAATCACGTCAAACGACGTCCGTTTTTCACCAAATTTTACAGAAACATCTTAAATCATATATAAGACCTGTACCGGGCGCCGGAACCAAAATACGGGCCCGATACCAACACGTTCTAATCAAACTTCATTTCAAATTTCCTTAAACAATTTCAGAAAGCAATTTCCTTTAAAAACTTATTTCTCGGGCTCGGGACCTCGGAATTTGATTCCGGGCATACGCCCAAGTCCCTTATTTTCCTACGGACCCTCCGCGGCCGTCAAATCACGGGTCCAGGTCCGCTTACCCAAAACGTTGACCGAAGTCAAATTAGCTTATTTTATTACATAAATTTATAATTTATCATATGTTTTCATATTTAAGCTTTCCGGCTATGCGCCCGGACTGCGCACGCAATTCGAGGTGACTCTAAATGAGGTTTTCAAGGCCTCGGAGTCATGGACTTTAATTTAAAACAGGTGATGACCTTTTGGGTCATCACATTCTCCACCTCTAAAACAACCGTTCGTCCTCGAACGGACAGAAGAAGGAAGTACCTGAGTCGGGGAAAAGATGGGGATAACGGCTCCGTATATCGGGCTCGGACTCCTAGGTCGATGCCTCAGGAGGCTGACCTCTCCACTGAACACGAACAGAAGGAAAACTATTCGACCTCAACTGACGAACCTGCCGGTCTAGAATAGCCACCGCCTCCTCCTTGTAAGACAAGTCCTTGTCCAACTGGACAGTGCTGTAATCTAACACGTGGGATGGATCGCCGTGATACCTCCGAAGCATGGACACATGGAACACTGGATGCACGGCTGATAAGCTCGGCGGCAATGCAAGTCTATAAGCCACCTCTCCTACTCGATCAAGAATCCC